TATATATATATATATATATATATATATATATATGTTCTCAAAATTTTTTTAGATTTTACCAATTTGTAGGACTTTAATACCTAAGTGCGAAATCAAAAAACGCCGTTGCGACACAGTATGACCGCTCTAAATTGCAAAAAAAAGAACATGGCCTTTTTTAGAAGTGGTCATGTTTAAAGAATTGTATTTGTTTCGTCCAAAACGGCTATTTCTATTTTAACTTCATTTGGAAGCCTCCTGCAGAGTGAGAAGTGGTGAAATACGCGTAAAATAACAAGATAAAAGAAAGGCTAAAACAATATTGAAAATATAAAATCGTTTTTCTCGAAAACTTAAATTTTGAATTTTTTGAAAAAGATATATCATATGATAGCATAATTCTTGCACAAAATATTGAAATCACAAAAGAATACTTTTACGGTACCACAAATTATGGCGCAATTAGGAAGACTAAATCGCAACAAATCTTCAATTTATGCAACATCTAGCGCTTAAGTGAAGACTTGGTTTACTTTGGCTAGTTCGGCAGCAAGCGGCAAATTCAATGCACATTTGTAAACATGAATGTAGTTGGGACTTAGTCGGAAAGTTTAATTTATAAACTAGCTCTCATCGCTATTCTTTTCAAAGTGCCTTTCTCGCTGCCACAAGTTTTTTCGTCAGAGTTGCGAAGAAGTGTCATAGTGCTGCAGCTCCAAAGTTCACAGGATGAGAAATGAGGTTCAGAAGGTTTCTGCGATCTTTTTATTAAATGTATCTTCATCAGTAAATAATTCTTCAAAAACTGCATTTCACCTTCAGAACGCTTGGGAAGCTCCGTGGAAATGAATCTATGGGTGCTGGGTCAAGTGTGACACATCTGGACACTTCAAGATCGTAGAAGCGGTAAAAGACGTAGGATTCACCTTCAACCAAAATACAGTGCAGACGAATGACCGTAGTTACACCTTTGTCTGATGCTACCCTTGAATGGCCTTCTGAACTGTACCTATATCTCCAGTAAAATCACAAATTAACACCATGCTGGAAGGACAACATTAAAACAATACTAGCAGTTAGTAACCTACAGTGAGTGCAAAATATTCAGTCTAAAAAAGCTTGGTGAAGAAACAAAACGATGCAAATTGGGAGAGTAACAATAGTTCCTTCCAAAAATTCCAACTAAAACACTTTGCAGAAAAAACTTTAAAGTAGGTACCCATCATCAAACTAGCTCAACTAAAGCAAGCTTAAATAAAATGATGTTCCAGTTACGTCCTAAACGTTGTCACTCGCAAAGATGCCAAAATGTTACGTAAACTGAGGGTTTTTTGCAATCTAGAACTGAATGCTCGCACCATAGCTTGAGACACCATAAAAATGGCACCTCGTAATTCTAACATTTTATAAAGGAACTATGCCTTCAAAAAATATATTTTTATCAGAAAACTTAAAATGTAATTTGTTGGGAAAAACGACTTTACATTCTCAACTTTATTTCAGCTTTTTACGTAAATTGTTAATATACACGTATTTCACCACTTTTCTGACTCTGTAAGAGAGGCCTTCAGATGACGTAAGAATAGAAAAAGCTGTCTCTTATGGAAAGGATACAATTCTGTAAACATGGATAAAAATAACCAATCTCAAAAAAAATTGTTTTTTTTTTCAGCACGGTCTAACTTCTCCACCAGCGCATTTTTCAAAGCAGCTTTTTTTGATTCCGCAGTCGGGTATTAAAACCCTACAAATTGGCAAATTCTGAAAAATTATAAGAAGCCGGCTGGAAAAAGCGTGCGATTTAACTTCGAATCGCCTACATATATAAAACGCAATCAAAAAAAAAAAAAACATGAGAGACAATTTCACTTGAAAAACAGCCACCTCAACCAAACCCAATAAAAAACCATTCTCCAAATTATTTATTTCTGCAAGTTTACACAACATTTATTCTGCATTACTGCCTAGGTTTAATGAAAAAAATTTTTTTTTTTGACCTGGTCCAACACCACGGTTTACAATACAATTTTGAAATCAGAAGACTGCATTTCGCAAATAACCAGACCACAGTAAGTTGCAAAAAAAATTGTCCAAAGATTTTAAAATTTCTTTGTAATAAAAAGATTCCTGAACTTGTTTGCCTCTCCTAACAGCAATGTTAGCCACTTGCTGAGAATTATTCAGGCAATTCAGTAGTAGCATCTCTGCTACACGGCAAAGACAACAAAATTTTTAAAAACATAAATTTTTTAGAAGATAAAAAAACAGGCCACAAATGGATGCAATTCTTTATCTGTTCTAGACCAATGTCAGCAGTTACTCTCTCATATCTACGAAGCTGACCGGTACAATGTCAAACGAGGGAGGTGTTATTCACTGTTTGTGGTGTCAATGAAACGAAAATTAATCCTAAGCTTTCCATGTCTCTCCAAACAATATTAGACAATCTTAGAAGAATCAAGATAGAAAGACTGCAAGCAAGTATGCACGCGAGGAACTTTACTTATGTCATGAAAAACTAAGGAACAATTAAATAATGCTCACTGCATCATTGTTTTGCGAGATTAAGTTGCAGCAGCAAAACTCGCTAAAAAGATTGTATACAACAAATGCAATATAATGGAACTATATTGAAATTAATTTAACTGACCGGATTAATTAAAATACTGAAGAACAAGTCGCCGCCTTCAATATTAGCTAAAAGCTTGGAGAAACCACCTGGATAGGCATGAAAGAAATGAGTGTGCGTATACAAGCCACAAGTCTGCCTAGGTAACACCTTAAACAAAAGATAAAAAGCAATTTAGGAGGCTCGGTAAAATAAAAAATGAGGAAAGTAAAACAAATAAACCAACAGATATGAAATAAACGACAATAAGGTGAATAACTTTTACCGAAACTACACGACACAAACTCAAAAATATCTAGCCAAAAAAATTACCGATATATTTCTGTGAATGAATCCGCGTCTAGAAGATGCTGGTCTCAGATGAGGATACTCCTCGGTAGAAGTGACCCATACGTCCCAAATTTTTTGCCACGCCGTATATAAGGCCTCGTGAAGTGGATAAACACCCGCATGCTGCGGTGATACTGAATAGTGCGAAAATGCTGGCAACTTCATCCCCTAAATACAAATACAACTTTAAAAAAAAAATGCAGAAAAAATCCATTTTATCCACTCAACATTAACGAACAAGACATTAAAAAAATGGAAATAAACCTTCAGATGAACAAACCTGAGCAAATAATTTATTTTGAGCCATTATAGCTTCCAAATAAGTGAGATTATATTCGTGCGCGTGATTATGTTTCCACATATGAGGGAACCAAAGGAAATTATCAGCAAGTTCTAGAAATAAATTAGCAAACGTTGAAAGTTCCAACGAACAGATACCCAACTTAAAATAATAAAAATATCAATAAAAAACTGCTGATCGTAACATACTCGTAAAAGAAGAACTTCACCAAAAACCCATCC